GATGGAGCCCTTGTCTTATTGGATATCCAATAAGCCCCTGAATTATTGGATCCCATGAACGAGATCCAATAAGAGCCCATGAGAGATTATTGGATAGAGATCCACTAATCTAAAAGACTTGGGTTATTGGATGCAGATCCAATACCCACTAGGGGAGGATCCATTAGGGTTTGATAGGGGACCTCTATAAATAGGAGGGATTCAGAGCCTCATAGGCTAGAGCCTTTGCTTGCCTCTTCTATTCTCCTTCCCCTCTCCATCTCAGAGCAGGCTTTGAGTTTTGAGGAGCGTCGTCGCAGCCCTATTGTGTGGATCCCCGCTAGAGAGGAGGACGCTTGACCTCCTTCACCCTCTCCTAAAGATCTGTAGGGAAACAGGGATATACGATCTCTCTAGGTAACACAATCTACTTTATACGCAGTTTTTCAGTTTCGCGGATTTTGCGCACCAATCTTCGCACGATGACGAACATCTCTTTGGGAATCGGGGATTTTGTTTTCTTGTTCTTCCGCTGCACATCTGATGTTGCCACCAAGATTTTCCAACAGTGAGGAGTTTAAGGTCATCATCACTTGAGCTTTCGCTTAAGTGGTCTTCTATTGTTCAAAGTATCAAATCATTCATGTTCTTTGGAAGGTAGTTCTCATGTTCATCATGTTCAATTAAAGACCCGATAAATTCTTCAAGTGAAAACTTATTTAAGTCCTTTGCCTCTTGTATTATAATTACTTTCGAATCTTAATTTTTAGAATGAGATTGTAAAACTTTATTAACAAGCTCAAGATTCATTTGTCAAGAGCTTTTAAACTATTGACGACATCTGTAAAACGAGTGTACATATCAATAATAGTTTTGCTTGGCTTCATTCGAAATAATTCAAAATCATGCATCAAAATATTTATTTTAGACTCTTTAACTCTATTTGTGCCTTCATGAGTTACTTCTAGTGTGTACTAAATCTCATGTGTAGTTTTGCATAAAGAAATATGATTAAACTCATTTGTATTCAAAGAACAAATAGAGCATTCGTAGCTTTAGCATTGAAAGAAAAAGTCTTCTTCTCCAAATCATTTCATTCATTCATTGACTTGGAAGACATTTGAAAACTGCTTTCAATAATATTTCATAAATCAAAATCTATAGAAAGCAAGAAAACTCTCATTCGAGTTATCCAATACGTGTAGTTCATCCTATAAAACATAGGAGGATGAATGATAGAAAGACCCTCTTGAATGCTAGTAAAAGTCATTTCTCTTGAGTGTTAAACCAAATGAGAAAAATCTTGACTCTGATACTAACTATTAATATTGAATCGAGAAAAATCGATACTTTCATAAGAAACATCGGTTCAAAAATTCTTATACGATGAAAACTGATATTGGAAATGAGCTTGACTTCGAGTGCACGTTCATAAATGTAGTAAGAGTAGTAAGCAAGTAAATCAGTTTGCAATATGAGAATAAAAAGCATAACAAAAATGCAAACCAGATTTTATAGTGGATCGATTGTCCTGACCTATGTCCACTCTCGATTTCTCTTCACTCGAGGCCACCGGCTTTCACTACCGATCTTCTTTTAATGGGTGAAAATCAACTACCATTATAAATCTTTCTTCTTTTTAGAGGTTCAGGAGAGAACTTTTACACCCCTCTTTTATAAGTGTTCTTTCACATATCTCCCTTAGGACTATCACTATGCTCTAGGAGGAGGAACTCTATACTTTAAGAGATTACAATATTAAAATCACAAAGCTTTTGTTCTACTTTCATGTGTGTTCGAAGTAGGAATTTGTGAGGTATTTATAAACCCCAAATGGCTTCAAAAATTGAAACCAAAATTTAAATCCCCAGGTTTTCGGGGTACTAGCAATACCACCACCTGCGAGCCTGATATTTGACGGTACCACTACCTATCGGTCTCACATTGGGCGATACCACTACCTGACATAGTCTAGAAGACAATGTCTGGGTGGTACCACTACCCAGGCTGGTGGTACCACCGTTTGACACAGTTTGGGAGACTGTCTAGGTAGTACCATTGCCCAGTCTAGCGATCTCACCGCCCGACCCTTAATGGGTGATCGGATGAGTCTTCCACTTAGCCCAAAACAACCCCAACTTAGGCCCAATTGACCTTAATTGAGTTGACATAGTTATACCCCAAAACTAACTCAATTAGATCTAAACTAACTCAATCTAGACGCACGATTATAAGCATGAATCCTATATTGTACTACATATCATTGGTTCATCCGATGCTTCGTTTGATCCTTCGACGCATCGTTATCTCCTTCGACGTATTGCCCAATCGACATATTGACTCCCGCAACTTTTGATCTCATTGGCATAATGTCTGATCCTTCAACTCGATGCTCGAACTCATGGCACGAAGTCTTTTTGTCGGTACGTCGATTGATCCTTGAGCTCGATGTCCAGTATCTTAACATATTTCACTCCGGCCCAATATACGATTATTCCTGCTTTAATCGATTTGTCTTTTCTAATCGAAGTTAGTCCCACGTCACTCAAAACATAGATTAGATACTAAACTTATAGTGATTTTATTATCAAAATCTAAAATTCATGAATCATAGTAGAGTGAACAAATAAAAATACTATAAATGAGTAGTGAACAAATAAAATTACTATAGATGAGTTATTTTTAAAATGTTTGTCATTCATTTCACTTCATATCATATCAATAAGACATAATTTACTCCAATATATTCCATACAAGTTATAAAAAAATATTTATGGTATTTTGAAACATCATTATAGTACTTTTGTTTATATATTAAAAAATAATAAAATAAATATAAAAATAGTATAAATGGGTTATTTTCTATATTCTTGTTATTTATTACACTTTATATCATGTAAACAAATACAATATGACATAATTTGCACTAATGTATTTTTAAAAAGTCATTTATATTATTTTAGAACATCATTACAGTGTTTTATTTCCTATACAGAAAACACTGTAATGTGAATATAAAAATACTCTAAAAGGGTTATTGATTAAATTATTGTCATTCATTTAATTTTACATCATGCCAATAAATAAATTAGGACATAATTTATATTAATTTAATTTAGAAATGGAGCGGAATGAATGACATGATATGGAGTGCAAATTTGAAGTGGGTCATTTCGCATTATGTCCTATTGCATGTGATGTTTGAAGTAGGATGAACGACAAAAACTTTTATTAAATGACCCATTTATAATATTTTTTATTCACTTTATAACGTTTTATGTATATTAATGAAAACACAATAATGACATTTCGAAATAACCTAAATAAATTTATATTACATGTATTAAATACATGGATATAGGTTAATATTGATCGAACCACTCTAAATCTCAGTTTGTATTTACATTCTACTCTCTATCTTAATTGTAAACGGTCTCCGTTACTTTTCTTCAATTGGATTTCGCTTAATCTTAAGTTTTTCGCTGCACTAATTCACCCCCTCTTAATGCTCTTGATCCTACCATTAAATACATGAGTGTAAATTATATCATATTGCATCCGTTGACATACATGATATAGAGTAGAATGAATGACAAGAATTTGGAAAACGATCTATTTATAATATTTTCCTATTCATGCTATAATATTTTCTGTATAATGACGAAAATAATATTTTCCTTGCTATAATATTTTCTGTATAATGATGAAAATAATATGACGATGTTTCAAGACACTATAAATATTTTTTTATGACTTTATGAAATATATCAGTGCAAATTATGTCATATTACATTTATTGCCATGATTTGAGGTGGAATAAATGACAAGAATGTGAAAAATTTTCATTTATAATGTTTATAGTTCATTTTTATAGCATTTTATGTATATGAATGATTCATTTATAATGTTTTTCTGTCCACTTGGACCAGTTCAATTTGGGTCAATTTGGGTGTTATCTGAATTAGGCGATACTATTTGGAAAAAAATTAAAATGAAGATGACTTTTGAAAAAAAATTGAAAAAAAAGAAACTGTTTTAGAAAAATCATCCAATTAAAAAAGAAATTTGTGTCAATAAAATCGGGTCAGATTTTAATTATGTCCCGAAAACGGATGATTGACTCAATTTTAATTAATATTTCAATCAAATTTATAGGTCGGTTGTTTTTATTCATATATTTTACTAAAAGCCAACAAGAAAAATCAATGTAATCCATATATTTTAAAGGACCAATACTTATATTGGTCACTTCCAACAATATATTGCGAATATAAATGCCAAGTGTTTACTAATTATGGATCCGCTAATGGCGTCAAAAAATAGTAATCTCGCTAGCCATAGATCCGCAACTTATCGGCTTTGAATTCTATTGGATTCGACCAGAATTGGTTCCAATATCATTCATATTTGAACAGGAAAAACTTTGGATTCTTTGACAATCTATTTGAAAATCCTAAATTGAATCCGCTCCCACCACCTCTATTATTTATTTTTGGACCATTTTTATATACTCTCTTGTAAATTTTTGGAAATGATATATGTATATATATTTTAAAAAATGTAAAGATTTTTATATAAAAATGAATATTTTATATTTTTAAATAATTTTTTTCATGATTAGTTGAATTTTTTTTCTCTTCTTAACACAACAAGATTCTGAAAATGAACGGATCAATTTTGCATGCTATTGTGACGATCAAAATTGATCATATCAATATAAATTTATCTTTGTGGTATATAAAAGAATTAAAAAAATCATAAAAAATATAAAATATAAAAATCCTAATATTTGTAGCATCATAATGAGTTTTAAAGTATATTAATATAAAATAAAGTAATAGCTAGCAATTGATTTATGATAATTATAACTTTAAACTTTGAAGGTGTATATGTACGTTAAATATATATTATATATTTTAAACTTAGCGGAATTAATTGGTTGTGGCGTTCGATCGACGACACATAAAATCCCAAATGAGTTCCCGCGTGCTTCTCACCAATGTACAAAAAGGAATGAGAAAGGGGTTTTTCCGTAATAAAAGGCCTCATCAGTTGATGGGCAGAAGAGGAAGCGAGAGGAGGCGGCGGAGATGGCGACGGTATGGAAGGGAATGACGTTCGCCGGCGCGAACGTGTTCCTCTCGCGCAGTCTCGTCCCTCCGGAGGTGTTCGACGCCCTCCACGACGCCCTCAAGCTCAACGGCGCTACCGTCTTCCTCTGCTGCGACCCCTCCTGCTCCGGCCCCAACGACTACCACGTCATCGCCTCCCCTGACCACGTCCGTCTCTTGTCCTCCTCTTTCCAGCCCACCCCTTAAAATTTCTCCTCCCGGTGACCTAATCGGTATGTTCTGATTGGCTTATCTACTCCTTGCAGGAGAAGTTCGCGGACCTCCGCGCCAAGGGTTGCAAACTGCTCGGTGCTTCTCTCCCTCCTTATTTTCTTTCGAAAATATTTTCACTTTCGCACTTATTTCGTGCTTTGGGTGAACTTCTCGGATGTTATCTCCTCCTTTGGTGAATTAATCATGATGGAGTGTTATTCTGTAAGCTCAATGTGTAGATGATAGTTGAATTCTTTCCTAAGCAAGAAAAATAGGGCATTTTGCTTGAAATTCTGGAAACTTTTTGCATTTAGTTTTCCTTTTTCGTTATTGTCTTACAGAGTCCGGTGATTTTAAGTTGTTGAGAAATTGTTGATTTTTGAAACAAAGACTTTCGAATAAGATGCTGAAATTGGAGGCATGACCAGAAAAACAGGAACTGCTTGCAATATTTTTTTTTCTTTAACTTTTTGCGTAGAAGTAATTTATTTGGTGCAGGGCATTCTTGAACCGAGTGCAGAAAGAAGGTTTGGGGAAAATATTATTGTGTTTAGAGCACATTAGGCTTTTAGAGAGGTTTCCACATATGTTGCCCTTTGAAGAATGCTTAAAGCCTCAAGCTAGAGTTAGTGAGAATAATTTTCTAGGTTTGGATGTGTCCTAGTTTCATGAAGCACATAGGTTCAGTTTGTCTTGTTTTGATAACCTTTGTAGTGACTACTGCACCAAACTCTTCAAAGTAATTGTTGCTCCATTGTAAAGGTACTAGATGATCTAGATTGATTTTATGAAGAAATGGAGGTTGAAGAGAGTTGGCACTCCAAATTCAGAGAACCAGTGTCTTCCGCTGCTATTTATGTGGTTGTTGATGTGTTAGCATATTCTGACTACACTATAACTAGATGCTGATGATTAAACATCACATGATATGATCAAGGTTTGATCGTGAATCAATCAATCAGTCAATCTGATAGCATAGTTAGACAGATGGAAATGCATCTTAGAAAACTTATATTAAGGTTTATTCCCTTCATGTCGATTGCTTTGTGAACCTTGATTTCGTCCTAGAAAATTGAGAGTTGAGACATTTGGATACAGACTCTTAATGTGAACCTTTTGAATTGCCGCCCTATTCTTGGATCAGGCTGCTACTGGCAACCACTCTCTGGATCAGGATATTGTATTACTTTTCCCTGTCAATGTGCAATTGCTCTCGAAGTTCAGGTGTTTCTGCCAAGGATAACGAAAGGTGTTGTCCAAAACCTAACACCTTCTCGGTTACTTAATAGGCCAATGCAACTATCGAAGATACAAGCATCAGTCAAGCATGGTTGCACACCTTGATTGATTCTTAATAAGATGGAAGGCATCAAATTGGACCTAAAGCCGCATAATTGCATTGTTTTATGCAATTCACATTCAGACTAGAAATGCTTATTGCCTATTATTGTTAATTTGCAGATTCAACCTAACTTTTCTTACATTAGAATTTTGACCTTGCTGTTATTTTGATCTACCTGACAGGACCACAATGCATCTTATCCTGTGCCAAAGAACATAGGAGTCTGCCTAAACAAGGTTACACCTGTTGCCTCGCTATGGATGGGGTTAAAGTTCTGGCATCTGGATTCGATAAGGATGAAAAGGTAACATGATCCCTGAAGTACCTCAGCTGCAATGGGTTTCCTTGCAACCATCTCTTTTTAAGATTTCTTTTTAACCAAGTGTGGATAATTAGTGGAATTTCTTTCCTTTGTTTTCTTTGCTTGTTCTCTTTCTTTGTTTGTGTGTGTATGTGCTCTTTATGATTACAATTTTCTTGTGACATGTGTCACTTTAACTTAAAAATTCATCTCCTTTATCACCATCACTTCTTTGAAACAAAATAATGAATCATTCATGCAGACTTTTGGTACACGGACCATATGTTACCGTTCCGACACTGTAGTAGCACTGTAGCACTGCTACAGTGCTCGGCACGCCTGAATATACCGCTCGGTACACCTGGGTGTACCGAGCGGTATACCGTACCATACCGGTACCGAGCCCAGGTCGAAACTCCGGTACGGTACAGTATTGCGAACCTTGATTCAGTGTTCATTTGTACAGTGAAACTTTATGACATGATTAATGTTGATTGAAAGGATCTACACTTATTATATAGTGTCTTTTCAGAGGACCATGATGGAAACTTTTAAGAAATAGTCAGAAATTCTTTAATCTTATCCTTGCAGTAAACCAATGCATCTATCTGAATGATCCTGCATGTAGCTTTCTGTATAACTGATGTATGGTGGTAAATTTGTAAAAGATCTTGCATGATTTTGTGTACTGGTGATTGCATTGGCAAAGACATAACCAAGGTCATATTGCTGAAAAAAAATTAATATTATTTTCTTCAAACTAATTTGTTTTTCATATTCCCAATTTTGACATCATACTATCTTTTTCCAAGAAAGTCTATACATATTCTCTAACATCATATCTAATGAACTGTTTTTTCAGGTTCATATCGAACGACTAGTAACTGCTATGGGAGGTGTACTGCAGACCAAAACATCCCAGGATGTTAATTTTTTCATCGTAAAGAATGTCTTGGCTGCTAAGTATAAAGTATGCTTGAGCAATCATGGAGCAATATTTTAGGATTTTGTTCTGGTTTCATGAATTTAAATATTTTTCTCATTGCTTCATCTGTTGCCTATTTGGCACTAAATTTGTCTTTGCTGAAGATTTCAATTTACTTGCTTACCTTTATTAGCAACAGGCCTTGCAGTTCTTTATGAATATCACTGTCATTTGTGCACTTGTTTAGGAGCCATATCTTAATGGTTCCTTGGTATTGGATTGAATTAATTGGCTTTGCCTTTTCTCCATATTGCTCAAGGTCGGTATGCTTGGTTAATATGAATGAGTATTTCTATATCCATGGACTGTGTTCATGATTCTCTTTGTTGGTATTAAGTAATCTACAAGTTATTTGTGCTTTTGGCATTAAAATGTTCCACACCAAAAATTTCACAAAAAGGAAGGTGATTATGATGGATATTGTGTTGTAATGCAAATGCTTAGTTTTTCATTTCTTACCTTGACCTAATTCCTTTTCTTATTAACTGGATATTGATTTCCTTTCATGTCCTTTTGTGGTCATTTGTTGCGATTACCCATGTTTTATGTTAATTAGATGGAAGCTCTTGAGAAGCTGTACATAGGACAATAATTATAATGAGTAACATAATATATATATTCTTTGTTGATTTCTGTTTCATATCTTTAACAAGTTTCCATCTTGGATGAAGAAAGGAATCACATGATGCTATATATTGTCTTTCTTCTAGAAGTGAAAATGTAAGTAAAATTTGGAAAAGTTTAAGATTAAGTGTTTTTTGATAAACCTAAATCTGATTATGTGCAACATATGACTTCTCTTTGCATGTATACATACAGCTTATGTTAAACTTGGCCCTGCCTGTAGTAGATATCTACCATGAGTTAGATTGGTGATTAGCAACCGCAAGAGTTGTATTATCACTCTTAATGGTTCTTTTTTATTATTACTCTTAATGTTAATGTTAGGCCTAAGCTTCAGAATTTTAAATTGATTCATGAAATTGTATAATGGCAATGACTGTAAGGTAATTCTGGTCAAGCATCATGACTCACTGATTTATTGGTTACTGTATCTGTTCTCATTTTGTAAATTAGCTCTTATATCTTGTTAATTACAAAAACCATTATGTCATTAATCTTGGCTGTTCTTGTTTGTTTTTTGGTTCTTGGTTCCATATTTTTGCAGCATCTGAATTTAGCTGTTGCCTCGTTTAATGGACCTTTTGATTTGAATATGATTTAGTGGGCCTTAAATATCCTTAAGAAGCCTATTGTCGGTATGAGCTGGTTAAGACAATGCTGGACTGAGCATCGTGTTGTGCCACAAGAGGCTTACAGGATTCTTCCTTTCACTGGCTTGACTATCTGCGTCACAAGAATTTCTGCAGGTAGGCGCATATAAGATGACTTAACCTACTACTCTAGCAACTAATTGTCTTGGTAATAGCGACATCATAGCAAGTGATGGTTACCAAGAGGTGCTGAAGGAAATGAATATTATATTTCTATGTTGCAACCGTAGAGCACAAAAGCAGTTATTGTAGCGAGCTGTTGTGTCATCTTGACCTTCCTCTTTTTTCTGCCAATTGTTCGTTTGTATTCACTATGAAAATAATTAAATTATATGTTGTTCATCTTTTCAGATGAGAGAAAGGAGCTGGAAAAGTTGATTTTACAAAATGGTGGCTGCTATTCAGCTGATCTTACCAAAAAGTGCACTCATCTGGTTTCAGATATATCCTGTATACTCTGTGCATGATGATTTTTTTCCGCCCCCAGGATGAATTGCTAATTTTTTTGAAGTCCTTTAGCAAAATGTGAACTCGCTAAGTGTAGTTTTCTTTATATGTTTGTCACAGTAACTCAAATGGATTACTTATGGTAACTAATCTGGTCAATCCTGAATATGATGCATGTTTTTGTTACATGTCATGCTTGTTTGTGCACTGGATTCTACAGAAAGATCAGCCATTTATAAAGATCCTGTTTAATCCTAGTAGATCGGTCAAGTCACTACCATTTTCCAAATTCTGTCTGATGTATGGATTCTGCAAAATCTATGTGGTGCCTCATGACATTAGCATATTTAATCTATCCGTAACATATGTATATGATATGATAGGATACACAGAGAATGTTCTTAGTGCCTTCTTTGGTAATTCATTTAGTTGTTTGAAGTTAGATCCTTGACAGTACATACGCTCCTGAAGGGGACAAGTATGTGGTTGCACGAAGATGGGGTCATATTCATATTGTTACTCGCAGATGGGTTGACCAATCTGTTGCTGTAAAAGGTACAGCTGCTGAGGACTATGATGCAACTTTCTTTGACACCATAGCACCATGATGTGTCCTTATTATAAAATTAAAACATTTATTGTATCTTATTATATTTTTCCTTTTGCTTTGTGTAGCTTGTCTAGATGAAGGATTGCATCCTGTTCAGGTAAATTCTTTTTCATGCAGTGATGCAAGAAGCTTTCAGAAGGAACAACGGTGCCATGAGCACAGCAATGCAACATCACAAACCGTCTCACCTTTAATGGTTGAGGACCTAGAAGCTACTTCATCACAGAACATATCATCTTCATTTTCAGATGCTACTAAGCTGAAAAATGAGGGAATGGATTCAGCAGCTGTACAGCTGAAAGATGAAAAGATGTTGAACTCTCATGTTGCTGAGGACTCTGAATCGGATGATAATGATCTTTACTTGTCAAATTGCAGAATTCTTCTTGTGGGTTTTGAGGAAGTGAAACTGAATAGACTTGTTACTATGATACGTAATGGTGGAGGCACTCGGCATATGATACTTAATGAAAAGCTGACCCACATTATAATTGGTGAACCTTCAGAATCGTATGTTTCTTATAGTACCTCATTGGATCGTCTTAAAACTTGACTTCTATATTTTGTGCTTATACTAGAAAGCTAAAGCTAATGAACTTATTCATGCTCCTCACATTAGTTTATTTATTCTGTAGTGAAAAGAAAGAGGTAAGACGTTTGGCTGTTTGGGGTGTTATCAATGTGGTAAAAGCTACCTGGCTGGAAGAGTGTGATCAGGCAAAGAAGGAACTTGCTGTATCCACAAGGCACCTAGCATCTGAACTACTCTTTTCAAAAGGTGTTGGCTTCACTTGTCCGCTCAAATCTTATCTGCTCTGCAGAAGCTTTTAATTAAGACACTAGTGGGTTACTAATAGTAATGTTTTCGTGGTTACAGCTTCTTCATGCTTCATTGTTGAGTCATCTGCAGATTCCACCAGGAAGGTAAAACACTTTGCTGGCACTCCTTGTTCGACAGTGGTCCATGTATCAGAGGATAAGAAGTTTGGAGAAGAGTTGTTTTCAGAGAAAAATTGCAGGGAAGAGAGAGTCAAAGGTGATGTAAATGTAAGCAACATTTCAGGATTAGCAACTACAACTGAAAAATTAAAGCAATATCGAGCAGAAAACAGTTTGACTCAGGGAGGCCAGAAACTTAAAGCTACTAGCACCATGGATTTCCCAAGTAGAAGATCAACAGATACTTTCAAGGGGAAAACTTTCTGTTTCTCAAATTCATTTCCTGAAGACCGGGTCAGTAGCATCTTTGCAAAACTTAGCTCTTGATTAATGCTGAGTAGATTCTTAAAGGATTACTTAGACCGGATAGATTGACTATTTCTTGTGATAAGAATAAATTGCTTTCCTAGAAGCATTGCTTGGCTTGAAACTTGGACATCCCCTCTTTGTATGTCCTCATTTATGGGGTTATTTTTTTTAGTTGAGATATTAATGGCCTGTATTTTATTGCTCTAATCAGCATTAAATTTGTTGTTCTATTTGGTGCTTGGATGTGGTTGTTACTTTTGTAGAGTCCTCTAAAAATTGCTCATCTTCTAAATTTAGCTGGTGTTTTCTAATTTTGATCAGAGGGCTCAAGTAATTGAATGGGTTGGGGAAGGTGGAGGAATGATGGTAGACGATCATCATAAGATGAATGCAAATTTTATCATTGAGCGTCATGGTCTCTTACATGTTCCTGCTGGTGCTTCTCAGACTACTGTCGTTTCAACTCAGTGGATACGCTCTTGTTTAGAGGTAAGCATCTTATTCCCCTTGTATTATTCATGAAACATATAGGATATACTTATAGCTGCTACTTTTGTCTGCTTAAGTGCATTCTGCTTATGATGTCTAGTTCATCATTGATTAAGTTTAAATCTACCTGGTGGTAATGGCTTGCTCTAACATGCCTCGAGCGAATGAAGTTATTAAATTTTTCTTTAATTTTTTGGGCAATTTATACAGCATAGCTACCTAGACATGAACGTCAAAAATCTTCAGTGATTTCTGGACACTACCAACAATGGAATTACAATAGGAATCTTCAATGAGGCTCTGGCATGCCTCATTTTGGACCTTGGACTGGAGAGATTATCTCCCAGGAATCATAAAATAGGAATTTCCAGATCATGTGGCTACACTTTGGGGAGTTGGAAACCACAACCTCTCCAAGTCCCTGGTACCAGTACTTGCATTTTCTATGCTTGTGAACAAAGTGAAATGCATGCAAAAAACTTGGTGAGAGCAGACTGCCATGTGTGGAAAAACAGGGTGTATGACATGACTAAGAGAATGGAATTAGTTTATAATACTCTTCCTTTTGTTCATGGATCCCAACTGACCTATTTGCCTAACTTTGTGTATTAGTTAGCAAATGGGTCAGTTAGCAAGTTAAGTCTCCTCCCAAATCAACTTCGTATATTAGTGAGCTAGCTTTTCTAATTCTATTCTTTTATTCTATAGTTTTTGCTTAATACACATGCCTCTTTTGCTTAAGTGCCACTAATTTAGAATAATGGTTTGTGGAGGGATATTGTTATAGGAGGTCTGCATACAAGATGTTGGAAGCCACGTTATCTACTCGCCATTGTGCTGCAGCATTCCGTTACCTGGATTTGAAAGCCTTAGATTCTGTGTCTCGCAGTATGAAGAGAAAGAGAGGCTTTTGTTAAGAAACTTATGCTTCACTTTGGGAGCTAAGTTTACTGAAAAGTTAACTAAAAAGGTCACCCACTTGTTATGTAAGTTCACCAGTGGTCCAAAATATGAGGCTGCTTGTAAGTGGGGAATTCAGCCCATTACTGCTGAGTGGATTAATGAGTGTGTTTCTCAGGTTTTTCTCTTCACTTCTTGAGGTGTGCATTTTAGCAGTACATAACAATCTAGTCTATAAAATTATTTCTTCTGTTGAATTTTTCTTTGTTTTTTAGAATATGATGGTTGCTGTTGATCCATTTCGGCCTAAACCAGTTACTACTGAGGATGGAGAAGCAGGCATATGCACAGTGAGTCAATATCCTACACAGGCAGCTTGTATGATTTATGGATGCGTTCCATCTCAGTTGCCGAGTGAATTTCAGGAGTTAAATGTGAACACAACAAGAAAAACAGGTGAATGGTTCATTCAAATAGCAGATTTAGCCCTTTATTATTGTCTCTATATTGTCTGAAATCTTGCACGATTATTGTCTGAAGTCTTGCATGATTATTGTACCAAGGCCATTGTCAAGAAGAATATGTTAGTGCCTTAGGGAAAAGGTCAAGATTGTCAGAATGTGACAGCAATGGTGATGCATCCAAGAAAACGAAAGTACCGGAAGATCAGGTGGGTCCTGATGCTGTTCCTGATGTTGCAGATGCCATAGAGGACCTATTAGCTCAGTCATCTAAGGTAATGATTTGGCATATTTTGTTCCAAAAATATTTGCATTATGGATTGAATTCATCCATTTTTTCCTCGCTTAAGATCCAGGATATCAAGTCACCTCCGCAATCTGGTTGTGATCAAACTGTATCCTTTTTTCAATCTGCATCGAGGGGACTAAGCTCTCATACGAGACATTTTGTACTTAACTATGTAGCTGCAGATTTTTTCATCTGATCATTCTATACTTCGTCAAGAAAATGAAAATTCAAGCTCCACTTTTGGTATTTCAAAACATTGGACAAGCAGGTAAGTTACATTTTTTCTTTCGGCATCCATAAAATGCTTTAAATTGTTATGTAACAAGCAGACATTTATATTTAAAAATGATTTTGTTATGTTGGAACATGCCCCGAAATTGGCACATAGCAAAAGCAACATTTGGAGAGCTGAAACATTGAGATAATTTGAGCATAAGAGTGCAAGTATGCCTGTTTTGTATTTTAATGGAGGAATCATCTGGTGCCATGTACAGCAGATTTGACAAAACCCTTTCAACGTCAGATTTAGTTCATCTCTCAAAATCATTGTCATATTCATCTCTATGTGATGTTATGTTTGATGATAAACATTGCACAAGAACAAAGGAAGTAGAGAGAGCCTGTTGAGCCGGGGAATAACTCGGATAGTGAGGGACAATTGCCTGTGCACAGTTGAATTGGTGGTTTTATATCATTAAACTTGCAGAAAATGGTGGAGTCTCAGCAAAAATTGTTTCATATTTCATTTCTTGTTTTGGATTAAAATAATTCAAGCAAATGAAAGTTATGAGCATTTAACTTCATTTTTTGTTACAGAATCTTCCTGTATTAATGGTGGTTTACATGTGATTTTACATCTTTATTTTTTGCACTGTTTGCTGGTGCCACAGCTGCAAGTAGCTTTATTATTGAACATAATTCCAGCAACAATTTGTACTTATATCACATTGTGTGCGTGTGTGTGTGTGTGTATATATATATATATATATATATATATTCTGAAACATCCCTTTTTGTCTTTTGCCTGATGGAGAATGTAATAAACCTTAGTGCACTGTCTAGAAATCTTGTTTGCCATATTGTTCAACTGATGTTTCCTCTTACCCTTTGAGGTTCCTTGTTTTCTGGATTTACGGTTCCATGCTTTAATTATTCATCAAGCTTGCCATCCTTGATAATGATGTTAAAAAGAATTTGATAGCAAGGGACATTTATTTTACTCTTTGTACCTGTTGTGACTGCATTTGCTGCAGGACCCCGAAAGAAGTAACTGCCCCTGACTCTTCCTGTCAAGAAAGAAGTCACAGTACGTATGATGTTTTCAGTGAGACACAAACAGAGTCACAGGTCTGGAATTTGTCCATCCTTGTTTTCCTTTTTCAAAAGTGGTTATCCATATTTCATAAACCTTACTTTTGTCTGTAGGTTGTTGGTTACGAAGAAGATCTATCAGGAAGGCAGAAAATAATTGATAGAGTTCGATCGCAAAGCTTGACACCAGCTCCAGATGGATTAAATCAATTTTAGTATGCCTTCTGGAGTCGTCAGCATAATTGGGTGCACCCTTTAATAATCTCATCTCTCCAGATTCAGAAGAAATGTTTATGTACTCAAGGGGTTACTGCAATGTGGCATTTCATGTTCATCAATCTCAAAGAGATGTTCATTCTTGTATCTACTCATGCATAAAAATCTCAGGCTCTAGATAAGTGCAGATCAAAGTTTACATGGCGTTCCATACATTGCAGTAACGAAGCTTGTATGATGATGTAAACATCTTTTCAGGTCATATCAATTCAAGCTGTTATCTGATGAACCAAATCATGTACATTTATTACTGCATGCACCGAGTTTGGTGGTAGACAATGTGAAAAACTACTCTCACGTGGTGATATTGCTTAGCTTGGAGATGGAAGTTATGTGGATATTGGAATTTGATTGTGGCCCCTCAAAATCCTACTGGGATGTGTGAGACCAGCAACTATGGGCGAGAAGGTGAGGCGATTCAGATATCTCGACTTAATTGTGCGTTTTTTTTTCAACAATATGGAGTTCGAGTTTTGAGTGAATTGAAGTTTTCATCTATAGTGCCAGTGAATTATCGTTATTCTGTTTTTATAAATATAAAACAAAACATAGCTAAACAATAGCCTTGCAATGTAAAATCTATTTTTTAAAACCAAAAACATAAGTGCTATAAAAATATCTGGCATATCTTAAATCCAAGCATTCCCCTCCCTCCATATCTGACTGAGGATGAAATTTGACAAAATATTTGTCAGGCCTGAATTCTGACATGACAAGCAATCCAATTGACTGTTGTATTAGGCTTCCGATACACACGATTAATTAAAATTTTCCCAAAGAAGGTCAACAACACATATTGATTTAGATCCAAAAGAACATACCGATTTTGTTAGAAATGTGCCACAGCTATCTCCTACTTGAATCCGAACTTAATTCATATGAGCGGCTGACAATTAAATTCAAAATTTCCTATTATTTTATTAGGGTCGTCACCCGGTTCCCTTGTCAGGGTGATATGACAACCGGGGGAGACTAACTAATCCTGGCCGTTTATGCCGACCAAATCAACAGTGCCCGAATCTCCAACAGCTAAAATCTCAGTTGATCCGCTATCCTCCGTCATCGCCGCTCTTTTTTCTCTGGAAAGGCGACCGGAATTTTTGAGAGTGAACTAAAATCGATCGACGCCATATCCAACCCTAAGCTCCGATTTCTCTCCCATGGCTGCCGGCTTCTCTCTCCCTTCCTACCCGCTCCTTTCTCTCCAATTGTTCCCATCTAAACCGTCTCTCTTCACCGTCCCCTGGCTCGTCCGTTCTCCCTCTCGCCATCCCGAGAAGTGGCGATTCCTCGTGTCTCCGTCTCTTTCTTCCGCTTCCGTCGCGAGCCCTTCGCTCAATCCCCTCGTGGGCTCGCTAAAGGTGCGTTCTGTGATTGATCCCACATCGTTTGGTTGTAGCTGGTTGACGCTGTCCTCTTTGGTTTCACGAGAAGGCGGGCCATTTGAAGGGCACCAAGTGGAGGGATCTCTGGAGCCTGAACAGTTGGGTCGTCCGAGATTACTACCGGCTCGTTACCTTTGTCAATGCTTTTGAGCCCCAGATGTTGAATCTGTCTGACGAACAGGTTGGCTGTTTCTTTATGTTTTATAAGAAGAATATGTATAAAACATGATAGAATAAAAAAAGTAATGGAAGGATATGGTGGAACTGGCAAAATGATAAAATTTTGATTCATTTTATGTGGTTGTTTCAGTGAATTTTATTGTTTTCAGCTCAGAGGGAAGACCGCCGAATTCCGCCAACGGTTGAGCCAAGGAGAAACTCTAGCTGATATCCAAGCGGGTTGGATGTTCTCACAAATTCTGTCATCATGTCTCCATCTCTTTTGTTGGTCTTGATGGATTCTTGTTTGATATTTCTTGATTTTATCTTATAACTGTTTAAAAATTCCCATCTTCAATTTTATCGTGGAATTATTGTGGTTTCATGCAGAGGCATTTGCTGTTGTTCGGGAAGCTGCCAGAAGGAAGCTTGGCATGCGTCATTTTGATGTTCAGGTATCTCGTCATTGTAGCTTACACTTTCTTTTTGTTTAAAAGTAAGGGTTTGGACAGCTAAATGTGGGAGAATTCTTAAAGTTTTCCAATCCAATTGTTACACTGCAATTAGATTATTGGTGGAGCAGTGCTTCATGATGGGTGTATAGCAGAGATGAAGACTGGTGAAGGAAAAACACTCGTATCCACACTTGCTGCTTATTTGAATGCACTCACAGGACATGGAGTTCACGGTATGATTAGTAGCTATTGTTGCAGGTGATGAAATTTATATGCATATGTTTGTAGCAAAGCTCAACTCTTGAAGTATTCACATTTGTTCAGCTCCCATACTTTTCATGCTTGAATGAAGATGCAACATGAGAGTTTTTTGATATTCGACATGACATTTTAAGTTGTCTAAGACTCTAAGATGGAAATTTTAGTCTCTTTTGATGCACTATGCCAAAAATGTATTAATTAGCCTCTTATAGAGTAATTTACATTATTAATTCAAGTTGTCCTGTAGTTACTTCCTATTTATATAGTTTCCATATTTTTTAATAAACAAAATGTATGTAGTTAATATACTCTGTAGCAAGGTCTGCAATTTCGTACCGTACCGGAGTTTTGACGTTCGTTCGGTACGGTACGAAACTGTATACCGAGCGGTATACCATTCGGTATATATATATATATATATATATATATATAAAATATAATATAACTCGACGACTCGCCTCTCTCTTCTCCCAGGCGGGGCGACGTCGAAGCGACGTCGCCTCGTTTATATATATATATATATATATATATATATATATATATACATACATATATATATACATACATATATATATACATACATATATATATACATACATATATATATACATATATATATATATATATATATATGAAATCTGAAAAAGGCGACGTTGTCGAACGTCGCCTTTTTCTAATATATATATATATATATATATGTATATATATGTATACATATATATATATATACATATATATATACATATACATATATATATATATATATATACATATACATATATATATACATACATATACATATATATATACATATATATATATATATATACATACATATATATATATATACATACATATATACATACATATATATATATATACATACATATATATATATATATATATAATTTTATTATTATTTTTCGTTCCGCCCAATAGCGGACGGTCCGTGTACCGGTATGTTGTCGGATCGTTACGTACCGCCTGTACCGGGCGATATCATTCGGTATTGTCTACCTTGCTCTGTAGAAGATAAAGCCACCTTGATCCATATAATTACACTTTGCTTTCATCTCTCAACATTTGTAAATTGTTGTACCTTTTTATGTTTGAAGGTTTAACCTTTAGAGTTTAGACTTTTTGCCATCTTATTCTCATAATAGTTGTTTCGCATTTTTATATTTGTTATATGATAAAAAAGCATATATATGAACCAGAGTGTCACAGACTTAGCTGGAATTGCCTAAGTTGTGAGACACCCTTACGGCAAAGTCATGAACTTAGCTGGAGTTGCCTAAGTCGTGAAACACTCTTACGCAAACTCCTCGAACTTAGTTGAGATTGCCTAAGTCATGAGGCGCTCTTGCGACATATGCGTCTGCAAAGGGTCAACCTAGTTGCAACCTCGTACAGGTCCTAAAGGACTTGCGAAACAGAAAGTTAATTAGTTTGAAAAACGAGCAACGGACAAGTCCCAACGTTTCACGAAGAGGGAAGCTTTACAAGCAATTCAGCGAGCACCTTGAGTGCAAGAGAGAAAAGAGAGGAAGGAGAAAACAAGGACTTTAAAAGGTAGAACGAACAGTTGTAAGTCCACAAACAACTGCTCACTGAGTGTCAGGCGTGAAGGCAAGTTCCTGTCAAGTTAACATGCGAACTTGTGAAGATTGTTCGACGCCCGACATTATCTCGAAGCCCCATCCCCTATGGTGCCACCCGGGGGGTTCTAGGGTGCTGAGATGGTTGACATTTTGCGTGCAGCTACAGTCTGCAGAAAATAGGTTGTGACACACGAAAACAGAGTCATTTTGGGGTAGTTTTGCCCGGCGCAGCGAGCGGTTGCACTGTAGCGCTGCAACCCGTTCGAACATGTATTTTTACAAGCAAAAACACATAAAACCAAAGCAAAACATGCTGCCAAGCATCTGTACATGTATGTAAAAGCGATGAACGGTTCGATGAACGAAGTTGTTGCAGGTGCGTGACGATCGTTTGTGACAGGAGGGCAACAAAAATGACAACTAAGCAAGGTTTCAGATTTTAGGTGGACCTGGTACATACCAGGTGGTATTTATCAGTCCAACCTTGAACCAATATGCGGACTTGGGCTTTTTGCATGGTCCGTTCTAGTTTATCTTTTCTAAGATGGTGACAGGATTTAGGATTTCTTGCTTTCATAGCCTCACACAAAAAAGTTGCAAGACTTTCTGCTCATGTCTCACTTTGTAGCTCTCTCACTATATCGGTCCATCCACCGCTTGTTGCTTGCCACCGCATCTGGGTACTTTGGCCTTCTCTTTCTCTTCCTTTCCTCCCTATCCTCCTTTGCTTTTCCTTCACCTTCTCCTCCTCCTTCCCCCCGCTTAGTACTATGACATGCACCAGTGTACCATGTGTCAGTGTACTGATATGAGTCGGACCTATACCCATCCAGCCAGGGACCTATACGAGTCTGGTACCCAAGACTTTGAATATTGCACCCAATGTCCAAGCTTAAGTTATATCTAGATGAGTGCTTCAATGTCTCAAAGCAACACTAGAACCAGTTGTTGGAAAATTTTCAAATAGAACATGCCTGCATAATTTTTTGTGGCCATTTTTATAATTGTATGCACCTACAGTTTATCTTGAAACTCAACTTTTCTTTTAATTTTCCTATGTCCACAGTGGTGACTGTTAATGACTACTTGGCCCAGCGGGATGCTGAGTGGATGGGCAGCATTCATCGTTTCCTTGGCCTTTCTGTGGGTCTTATACAGGTATCTTCCTTATTCTAAGTGTTTGACTTTAGTTTGATGTCTGTCTAGTCTATGTTATGCATTATTTGATTTTTGACATTACAAATCTGAAAAATAAGAAAAACCCTCTGTATTTTTGTTGCAAATACCTGTAGGGGGGCATGAAGGCTGATGAGAGGAGATCCAACTATTGTTGTGACATTACATACACTAATAATTCGGTAAAGCACTGATCACATGGTTTATGGTATTACTTTTAGCTTGTTATATGTTACTTCCAGGACAAGATGGTTGTCACTGTTTTTGCCACCTACATCACCGCTGTTCATTCACTTTGTTTCATATAGAACTTAGAATTTGGCAGATTCTACTTGCAGCAACTAAATATCATTAATTCAACTTCTCCACAACAAATTGTGGCATTTGACTTGCATTTTTATTTTTAACTTGCAACTGTTAGATGTTTGTCAGGAACTAGGCTTTGACTATCTCCGTGACAATCTGTCAGGAAATAAAAGGCAACTTGTTATGAGATGGTATGTTTATTTTATAATTCTTTCTTTTATTCATGATAGCAACTAATCTTATATGTAAAGCAGGCCAAGACCATTTCATTACGCCATTGTTGATGAAGTTGATTCTGTCCTTATTGATGAAGGAAGAAACCCATTATTGATCAGTGGTGAGGTAATTACTTCAATCTCTATTTCATGTTTATTTGATATTTCAGTTTCAATACTAAGTGACTTGAATTTAAAATGTCAATTTATTGTGTTTTGCTGTTAGGATAGGAAAGATGCTGCAAGATATCCAGTCGCTGCTAAAGTTGCTGAGCTGCTTGAACGAGGCATTGTATGTTCACTATATTTGCTAGTTTGCCAACTGAACCTTGCCATGATGGAATTGCTTTTTTGCTGCAGCATTACAATGTCGAGTTAAAAGACAATTCTGTGGATTTGACCGAAGAAGGAGTTGCTCTCATGGAGATGGTTCTTGAAACAAATGACTTGTGGGATGAAAAGGATCCATGGGCAAGGTGTCTTTCATAATGATTCCTTGTATTCTTTTTGGACTTCTATATCCTATTACATTTAGTGCAACCGTAATTTATGATGTCGACAATTTTTTTACTTTAATTATTTTGAAATGTAGGTTAAAGACTGTAATGTCTTGCACAACTCTCTGTATGTTCATGAAAACATTGATATGGACATATCTAGTTTCATATTTTGGTTAATTAAAAAAATGCTTATTCTTTATGTTCTTTCAGTTGGTACCTTATTGTATAAATCTAATTTTGTAGATTTCTAATGAATGCTTTGAAGGCTAAGGAATTTTACCGCAGAGATGTGCAATACATTGTCAGGGATGGGAAAGCATTGATAATAAATGAGGTATTACTTATTTTTGTGATATTATGATATATTTAAACTCTAACTGCTATTTTTTAATGCCTAATACAGTTATTTGTTTGAAACACTTGCTTCATTCAGAGTTTGTTATAATACATATCAAAATGTTATTTGCTCGAGGTTATTGCTGGCTTTAGCTAAAATACTTTTTCTTCTTACAAAATCCTGAAGTACTTTTTTTCATTGCAAACAGTTGAACATCAACTACTCTTCTTCCTTTTTCCTCCTCCACCGCTTACTTTTCTTTCTTCCTCCTCCTCCACTGTTTCCTCTTCTTCCTTCTTCCTCCACTGTCTCCCCTTCTTCCTTCCCCTTCCTTCTTTTTCCACATCCTCTTCCTCCACCGCTGTCTCCTTTTTTTCCTCCTCTTCCACCACTATGCCTTCCTTTTCTCCTTCGTCTTCCTTTTCTCCTTCGTCTTTGAAACATTTGTATGTACCGGTGTAAAATATGTTGGTACACCGGTACTTACAGGTGGCCAGACCGGTACATACTCGTCTGGTCTGACCAGCGATCAGTATGTACCGGTCTGGTATGTGATACAACATTCATTGGTAATAGATTATCAAGGGACCTGAAATTAGTTTAGAAATTTAAATTTATTATTTATTTATTTTACTTTTGGTGGATAAACATACCATAGAAGATCCTCAATGTTCAGTTTCAATAATGATCTAAATGCAAAATCCATGCTTGCTTTCTAGTGTTCTGTCTAATTGTCATTTTCATGTCAACTACAAGGGCTGTTAATGTTTTTTTGTAAATAAATCAAACAAAATGCTCCAGCTTACAGGGAGAGTTGAAGAAAAAAGGCGATGGTCTGAAGGCATTCATCAAGCAGTAGAGGCAAAAGAAGACCTGAAAATTCAGGTATCTTTTAATTTTCTAAATCTTTGCACGTGAAAAAAAGGAAAAGAACTGTGTGGTAATGGTCTTTGGGGTTTAACTGATAGTATCACTAAGTAACTCATTCTGGTCGTTTCAGGCTGATTCGGTTGTTGTGGCCCAGATAACATATCAATCACTCTTTAAGCTTTATCCTAAGCTTTCAGGGATGACGGGGACTGCTAAGACTGAAGTATGGGCTATGTAATGCTTGTTATAAATTCAAGATTTTCATGGATACATTTATAAACTAATTTCTGCTGTTGGCATCTGCAGGAGAAAGAATTCTTGAAAATGTTTCAAATGCCTGTTGTTGAAGTCCCCACAAATTTACCAAATATTCGAATTGACTTACCTATTCAAGCATTTGCAGTAAGGCTTCAAAGAATATTTAATGATTTTATTATTTTTGCTGACCGTCATGACAGAATAAAGTTCATTATGTGGTATGGTCTCATTTTGTCACAGACTGTACGCGGGAAATGGGAATATGTGCGGGAAGAAGTTGAGTCAATGTTTCAATTGGGACGTCCTGTTTTAGTTGGAACGACAAGGTAAAAACTTAGAATTACAATCTCTGATATTCATAGGTGGTGCAGTGTTCAGTTTATCTGGCTTCTGAAGTACCAGCTTCTCAAGAAAAGGAAATGACAAAAGCATCTTGTCAAATGCATATTGCCTTAGAAAAATGTGGCCTTAGTCTATGAATATATTTATAAAAAGGTTACTTTTGTCTTGTTAAAGGCTTACTTTTGAAGTACTGTCTAGTTTTGATTATTGTGCAGTAAAAGTTGTCTTCATACCTGAAAGGCAACCGTAAAATGCACATGGTTTGTGGTCACTACTTGTTTTAATGGATCCAACTCACTGGCCTCATTAGTTTTATCCCTTACTAGTGAAATTGTGGCATGTGCTAATCCCAAACATTAAGTAATTGTTGATTACATGGCATGTTTTTGTTACTATAAGGATTTAGAATGTGATGAAATTATACTATATGTTTTGCTATATAAAGTTTTAAGAGTGCTAAAAACCTTAATCAGTATCATGTAGCACTGAGATCATAAATTACCTTTTATGTACTGTCTAGTTTTGATTATTGTGTAGTAAAAGTTTTCTTCATACCTGAAAGGTAACTGTAAAATGCGCATGGTTTGTGGTCACTACTTGTTTTAATGGATCCATCTCAGTGGCCTCATTAATTTTATCCGTTGCTAGTTAAATTGTGGAACGTGCTAATCGCAAACATTAAGTAATGGTCGATTCCATGACATGTTTTTGTTAATATAAGGATTTAGAATGTGATGAAATTATACTATTTGTTTTGCTATATAAAGTTTTAAGAGTGCTGAAAACCTTAATCAGTATCACGAGTCAGTAGATATGGAAAATTTTCAATTACATTTAAGACAACAGGAGACGTTTCTTGAGGTAACATTCAATCATATGCTGAGGTGCAAGGTTTTAGATTAGTCTGGTACCATTTTTGGTAAACTACTGGACTGGTATGGTACTAGTGTATGATCCGTACTTCTGGTGCTAACCAAAAAATAATAACACTTTAATATCCAATCGTACTGGACCATATGGTTGTCGGACTAGTAAATGTCAATTGTTACACATTGTATCGACTTGTTGTGTTATGAGGGGTGAAATTTGTAGCCATTCTCATATTTTAAAGGATGCTGTTGGTTGTCCTACGTGTGCCTTGGTAGATCTGCCAATTTTTGTGTCATTTGGAGAGTCACCCAATGGATTTAAGCCCTTCCTAAGTAGTCAAGTAGATGTGTAAATATTAGCAGGTTTTTACTGCACTATTTAAAGTTTGGCCTTTCAGTGACAATTGCGCCTATCTACAGTGTTTGAATCCTTATATCATTCAAGCTTTTTGGAATGCAAATATAAAAGAAAGCTTAGTGCAAAATATATGTCAAATGAACAAAACACTTTGAAGTTATGGAGTTCAGAATGTTGGTTAGAAACCACCGTATGGGGAGAGCTACTCAGCTGTTGAATACTAAGGACACGAACAGGGGTACACAGGTAATAGCCATTTTATTTCGAAGAACTTAGTTTTGGACGAAGCCAATGGTGAAGCAATATACATGCAGGCAAGGTCATACTTATGATAGGTTTGAGATGTTCTTGTCTATTTGGTCCTCAATACATTATGATTTATTATGTGCAATTAATTTGTAGATTAATTGTTTATTAAGAAGTTGCTGTATTTTTATATTATTGTTTTTATGTTTTCAAAATAAAGGAGTTGTTATTAACAACAACTTATGTAGCATATTCTATTTTTGCAGTGTTGAGAATTCTGAATATTTATCTGATCTTCTCAGAGCCCGAAATATTCCTCATAATGTCCTCAATGCAAGGCCAAAGGTGTTTCCACATTTTTGGATCTATCATAATCATATTATTTAGATATTTCATCTTAAATACATTATAGCAGAAATTTTCTGCTTATACTTGTGCTTGATGTTATAATCTGTGTCTATAATTGTTCTCCAGTATGCTGCACGGGAGGCTGAAATTGTTGCCCAAGCTGGTAGAAAATATGCAATTACAATATCTACTAACATGGCAGGCAGGGGCACTGATATCATTCTTGGTGGTAACCCAAAGGTCTGCTCATGATTCGTCTCCAATGTGCATATCCTTCTCAAATCTTACCTTACAAATTATAGCTCATAAATTATGGACCGATGCTGATAATCCATTTTGGAACAATAGGACAGATGGTTGTCTGTTGTCTTTATTTATTGTAGTCATTAACTGTTATGCAATGCCACTGCATAAGTATCTCGTCTGTTGTTAAGTATTACTAGATGCTTATTATTGTCTTGGAGATACTTAAACTTTATGCTTTATAAGTGAGTACTTTTTTGCTGTCTCAAGATGCTTGCTAAAAAAATAATAGAGGATAACTTGCTGCCTTTTATGGCACAAGAGGCTCCAGATGTTGAAAATGATGGCGAGCAAATTTCTCAAAAGGTGATTACTAAGTCCTCTTTATCATACAAGTTACCTATGCACATGTTTGTTTTTATGTGTAAATATTTCTTATTTCTAAAACTTTTGGAAATGTTACACAGGGTTTCTCAAAGATAAAAATAGGACCCTCATCTTTAGCATTGGTTGCGAAGGCTGCACTTATAGGTAAGTATTTGGATTTTATTGTGTCACACTCATTGATGATAGTATGTTTATCTTACATATATTTGTATATTTATCTTCCTGAGATTATGTCTTGTAGCAAAACATGTGTGCAAAAGCAAGCGAAATGATTGGCCATATGGGAAGGCAAAATCTGTTATCGCTGAGTCCATACAAATGAGTCAATCACTTGGAATGGAAGGACTCGATAATCAATTGGAAGAAGATTCAGAGATTTATCCCCTCAGTACTGCAGTAGCACTTGCTTACCTCGCTGTCTTGAAGGACTGTGAAACACATTGTTTTAATGAAGGGGTGGAAGTGAAAATGTTGGGTGGGCTCCATGTGATTGGGACGTCATTACATGAGTCTCGCCGAATAGATAATCAAGTAAGTTGCTCTGATCTCATAATCACTAAAGAAGTTAATTATATGTATTAAATTCTACTTATTAGTTAATTGCTTTAGCGTCCTTTTGTTTCATATTGTTATTATGGTACTGATAGAATAAGGAATTTTGAATAACATGCTTATTAGTTAATTGCTGTAACATCCTTCTGCTTCTCCTCGTCCTCTACCACCACCTCTTCCTCATCTTCTTCTTCGCCTCCTCCACCTCATCTTCTTCTTTGCCTCCTCCACCACCTCTTCTTCTTCTTTTACTCTTCTCCCTCTTCCCCTCCTTCCTCTCCTCTGCTACCTCCTCTACATCTTCTCCTCCTCCATCACCTCCTCTTCTCCTCCCTATCCTTCTTCTCTTCCTCACTTGTCCACCTCCTACTCATCCTTGTAGCCATCGCCATGTCATCTGCATCATGACTGCCTTCTATCACGTCGCCTCCTCGTTGCCTATCTTCTCTCTTTGTTTTTTTGGTATGACGAGTATTGACTCATATCGAGTGTCATTATATCAACTTGTGTTAGTACCATACTGATCCAGCCATCAGCTGATTTGGCATTGGATTGGAATCTTAATCCATGGTCTTGACTTAGCAAGTAGGAATTTTTCTTAGCTTATATTGGAACCTTAAATCTCCAGTCCAAGCTTTTTTATTGCCTACTGATTTTAATTTTTTTATAAGCTAAATTTGTTTGCTGCCAAAAGTTTTGACAACTTCGTAGTTTTTTTCTTTCTTCTATTTCATCCCTAAACCTTGGTATCAAGGTTTAAATATTGGTCAGACTGGTTTGTATCGGTAGATATTTACCGGTCCGACCAATTACCGATATAGAAATCCATAGCTTGATACAGCTACATATCAGTTATTTTTTATTTAACGATATCAGGTAATATGGGTCAGTTTAATACGTAGGTACCTTACCAGTCAATAGGTTACCGTAACCTTTTCGACCAAGGTATACATCTTGTTTGATATTACACCTTGGACTTAAACAAAATATACCATGTGTAATGATGCTTGGTGACTATCATTGCTAGGTACCTTACCAGTCAATAGGTTCCGAAACCTTTTCAACCATGGTATACATCTTGTTTGGTATTACATCTTTGACTTAAACAAAATTTTTGAATATCATGCGTAATGATGTTTGGTGACTCTCATTGCTAGGAGTCTTAAACTAGTTGAAATTCTGTACACCAACATGTCCATTTATTGACCAAGGCCATTAACTTCCTCAATCCCATAAAAATCATTCCGTGCTTCCTGTCATCATGAATTTTATAATTTTCCAGTTTAGCCATTATCTTTGATCATAGTGGTCTACTCAAAGCATTTGATTGCTATGTAGGGAATCCTTGATGATGAATTATCCTTGGTGGTAAATATGAGTTCCATGTATTGTTTTAATGGATTTGCATTTGAGAACTGTTTCAATATGTGCCGTGTTCCCAGCTTAAGGGACCGTATCTTCTCTAAAAGCTTCAAAGTGATACAAGAGAGTGCTTCCAAAACCTTAAGATTTGCATAAGCTACCAAGGTGAGCTGTAAAAGAGTTGAAATATGGGTATTATGTGGTCAGTTACAGATAAATGTATTCTTAAGAAAGAGTTGAAAACCAAACTTAGAGCGTTCATTGTTGCTTCTGTCCCACAAAGTGGTGAGGCGGATAGAACTAATAGCACAATACGTGTGGTCTTGTAAGTTGAGAAAATAATTTGGCAGGAGAAGCTTTCAACATATTATGGGAAGAACAAATGATTTTCTAAGAGCATGAAAAGCATGCCAAAGACAACATTGAAGAGACATCAGATGCCAAAGTAAACCCCTGAAAAAATAAATCTTAATTTTAGTTGCTGGAGTTGCTGAAATTCAGGATCTGCCAAGTCGAATCAGTTATAGGCATATAGATTGTATATAAAATAATGGGTGATTGTGCTATATTTGCATCACAAAGTTAGAGGACACTAAATAGTTTAATTACTTAAATTTGGTCACATCTTATCTTTTTTTTTAAATTTCGGGCACAAGCATGTAGTAGTTCCTAGGTCTATGTCAGGTCAGAAAGGAAGAGAGAAGAGTTTAAGCCTGATTGTGTGGAGGCTTCAAATGCCTGTAACCATGACATCAGGCTCAAGGATTTTGCTAGTTAGCACAAACCAAAAATTGGCCTGGCATGCATCAACACAGGCACATATTGGCATGACTTTCATGTCCCTAACATTGAAGAAAGGTATGGCAACTTTAATTTGGTCCTTATTAAGGTTTCAAATACTGGTTGGATTGGTAAATATTAATTAGTATTTACTGAACCTACCAAGCACCAGCACAGACGACTTGGCTTGGTACCATTCAGTATTATACTGCAATTTTGTTCCATAAAAGGAAAACATAGAAGAGTTAAACATTTAATTAAAATCATGTATGGAAGGATTTTTTTTTAATTTTTTCATTTGGCAAGTCAAGTCATTGACTAGTTATAAATATCACCTTGGTGGATATTTTGATATCTAAGGTCCAAAACTGATATCAAATATCAAAAGAAGCACAACAAGAAAATCCATATATAACAATAATCTTCAGCAAGGTCTAGTCTAAGAAAAATAGAGAACTAAACTCTGATTTGGTTAATAATTTACTGTCATTATGCATGGATGAAAAAAAGTCAGATACACTCCAAAATTTTCTGTCCTCATCACAGTATACTTGTATATCTTCTGGTGCCATCACAAGAATTTTCCTCTAACTAGAATAGTTAATTTAATTGTTTGACTTTCTATTTACTTGGACCTTTATTAGAGACACTTCATGTAAGATCTATTATTTTTTATGATTATATTTTTCATTTTTAGCTCCGTGGTAGAGCAGGACGACAAGGTGACCCTGGCTCAACAAGGTTTATGGTGAGGTACTGTTTTGTCAACAATAGATCTTCTTGTTGGATAGTATCAACTTACTGGACAAAGTACCTTGCATATATTGTGCGATAATTGATGTACTTGCATATTCAAGATAAACTTCATAGTGCAATATATTTGTTAATGATTTTGTTTTAATCTGTGAGAGATTGGTTCTGGTGCATTCTTAACCTGAATAATGAGAAACTTTAGAAGCCAAGGTTTAATGACCAATTAAAATTGAGAATGAATGTATGAAATATAACTTTAGCAATATTAACAGAAAATTCAAGGTTATAGTTAAGATGAATGGAAAGGAATATGTTAGAAGTGAAAGGTTTAATTATTGGGGGTCTACTGTTCAGTAAGTAGGGAAGATTGACATAATACTTATTTTAGAGTTAAAAGAGAATGATTAAAGTGGAGAGGGATGTAGAGAGTAATGTAATTGCTGAGTTACCCCCTAGATTAAAAGGAACATTCTATAAGATATATAGTAATAAGGGTGATTGTGTATAGATTAGATGATGATTAGGAAAGAAACATATACAATTAAGATGGTAAGGTTGCTAGAAAAGATACATTAAGATGGACATATATTTGTGAACAATTAAACCTACTTTTGATTGAGGATGAACCAAGGAAAACTGTTAGAGGTGAAATGAACATGTCTGTTGGAGACCTATAAATACACTACTGAAAGAGACAAATCTATCAGAATTACTGGCGCAAGAAAGGTTGATGAAATTCTAAAGAATATTTCATGGCTCTTAGTTTGACTAGCATTGTGCCCTCATTTAAAAATTTTGAAAATAATGTTAGTGCAGTGGAGACATGCTAATTCTACCTTGGACTCTTTTCCTGCTGTTCATGTGACTTCATTTCTCTCTTGAAACAGATGTAACATAGATCTAGGGTTTAAATATCATTTTGATCTTGAAAACCAATCATGAGTGCTATTACATGTCAATCTAGGTAGATTGTGAATTAATTGTTCTGAATGTTAGATAAACTTTTCCTGCTGAAGTCACAGTTGGGGTTTAGTAGAAAAGCTGAAAATAAACACCTTTGTTTTTGAACATTCTTTTGTTGAAGTGCTTCTGCTTGGACTAAGTTTCAAACCAACCTGCTATATCTGTTTGTTTTTCTGTGTTGTCCTTTTTGCTCCCGTACATAAACTAAGTTCTAGTTTAATGGAATAGCTTACAGGATGAGATGTTTCAGAAGTTCAATTTTGATACTGAGTGGGCTGTGAAACTCATATCAAAGATAACAAATAATGAGGATATACCAATTGAGGGGCACACAATTGTGAAACAGGTCTTCTCATTTAAATCACTATCGTTGTCGTGTTATTTTGCTCTAAATCAATGCAACTGGCTCAGTGCTTGCCTGATTTACTAAAAATTTTACAGCTTTTGGCTCTTCAAATAAATGCAGAGAAGTACTTCTTTGGCATAAGGAAGAGTCTTGTGGAGTTTGATGAAGTCCTGGAGGTAGGATATTTCAAGCTCATTAAATTTGTATTGACCCTATAATATAATTATATACAAATCATATTGATCTTTTGTAATCATGTTTTCGTTGATTATTAACAAGCTAAACCCCTTTTTGACATGATTTTTCTTAATATTGTGCAGAAGTTGATAATATTTTATTTAGCTATTCAGATTTCAAATGACCATACATCTGAATGATATAATGCTTAAAATATGACAAAACGGTGTCATTTTCCTTTCTTGTTTTTGATATCTTGTTTTCTTTATCTTGCTTACAAGTTACTAGGTTGGGTTATCAAAAAGATTTTTCTAGTATTGTTACTAGTATTCTGACTCATTTGTTGAACGCTTAAGAAATTCAAATATATATATATAAATATATATATATATATAAATATATATATATATAAATATAAATATATATATATATATATATATATATATATATATTTATATATATATGTATATAATATTTGCTTTAAAACAACATGCTGAACTGAATAGGTTTAAAGTTGAGCCTATGAATGAGAAAAGGTTATTTAATGCTTCTCGGAAAATTTCCCGTGCTGGTTAGGCAACTGCAGAAAATAACTTTTTGAAGGTTACAGCAAGACATAACCTGGTACCATCAAGTTGCTGTAAAAGAAAGTCCATGCTTCATCCCAGGACCATGAGTTAAATCTCCTGTGTTCCTCTTGGTATTTACTGGTCCGAGAGTCAATGGGTACGAGGGATTTCATCCAATTTGGTTCAAAATCAGACTTATTGTCTAGTTTGTTCACCATACTGGGCTTACCAAGCAATAAGCAGGCTGATATCGGGCTATATTGGCAGTAGGCTTACCGGTACCGAACTGGAGTTCTTTAAGGTTTTTGCTGTAAGTTGTTTTTCGTTTTTTTACCTTTCTTCTTGTTCTTCTTATCTCTTTTTCTCTCCATCAGGCTATCTCTCTCCCCACCCCCCCTTTGCTTGGTTTGGTTCAAATCAGACTTACTGCCTAGTTTGTTTATGATACTGGCCTTACTGAACAATAAGCATACCAATATTGAGCTGTATCAGGCAAAGGCTTAACAGTATTGCTGATAGATGTCTTTCTCTTCTTCTTCTTCTTCTTCTTCTTCTTCTTCTTCTTCTTCTTCTCTCTCCATCAGGTTCTCTCTCACTCACTCTCTCTCTCCACCTCCATTGCATCACCATCGTCTCCCCATCCATTGCATTACCACCATCTTCTCACTACTGCGTCGCTGCTCCCTCTTCCCTGTTGCATCACTGCCTCCGCCTCCCTGTTGCAGCGCTAGCATCTCGTCCTTGTTGTGTCGCTTCTGCTTACTTCCTACAGTTGCTGCAAACTCCTATTTACGCATGTTGTTGTCTCCTAGTCCTCCATCGTCTTCTCCTGTGCCATCTTTCTCCTGCTTATCCTGCTCCTTTGCCTCCTGCTCTCTCTCTGTCTTCTATTGACTGTTGGTACACTGTACTGAACTATACTGGTGTGGCCACTGGCCAGTTTTGGACTTAGATTCTAATGCATGTCCACAATGATGATGAAACAAGAGGCTTCCATAGTAGAACCCACTTCTTTAATAGGTCATTTTCGATGCCTCTTCTCATTAACAAAGTGGTTCCTCAAATGTCAATGGCATAGTTGAATGAAATCTATATAGGCTAGTATACCAAATACTCAACTTATAAATTAAACTTTGAACTTAGTCACAAGGAATTGGTCACAATCTTTGACTTCATTCTGTTAGTACCTGTAGCAGTATATTTTTTTCTACACTGCTTTAACAATTTTGGTTAAATTTACTTGTAAAATTTAGTGTTAATATATCCTTCATATTGTTTCAAAGAAGAACAATTGAGGAAAACACTTATTATGGCATTGTGACTCTTTTTAAGTTTCCTTTCTCTATTGGGTGTTTGATTACTTGTTTGTTATTTTAATCAAGGATTGAAATATCATACCATACTAGAGTTTTGACATTCGCTCGGTACGGTATGGTACTGTATACAGAGTGATATATCGTCGATATATATATATATATATATATATATATATATATATATATATATATATATATATATATATATATATATAAAAAAAAAAATTTCGGTGACGTCGTCTCTCTTCTCCCCACGTGAGGCAACTTCGCCTCATTTTTCTATATATAAAATCTTTTATTTATATATAATCTTTTATATATATATATATA